CTTGGACAGGATAACAAAAGCAAAAATAGAAAAATAGGACTACATCAAACTTAAAAAGTTTTGAGCACGAAAAGACAAAAATCAATGGATTTAAGAGGCAAACTTCAGAACGGGAATAAATATTTGCATATCATGTTTTATTTTCAATGTTTTTTTGGGGGGGGAGAGGGGTATCGCAGGGGTCAGCACAAATGGAGTGCAATGGATAAGACTCGCCCTGGGAAAACCACCTTCGTGATCATGGTATCTTCCCTGCCAGGTAAGCACCATTTTAATTTTTTTTTTTTTATCCTCACCTGAGGACATTTTTACATTTTTGTTCAGATTGAGTGGGAGGGAGAGAGAGAAACATCGATGTGAAAGGGACACATCAAGTGGCTGCCTCCTGCACAACCCCAACCGGGGCCAGGGACAAACTGCAACCGAGATACGTGCCCTTAGTGGGAACCGAACCCAGGTCTCTCTGGACCTTGGGCTGATACTCTAATTGCTGAGCCAAACTGGCCAGGGCTCATTTTAAGTTTTAATGAAAGTTGTTTGTAAGATTACTTTATTCCTGCATCGTCTCAATTATTTCTTCCTTGTATTTGCCCCTTTCGTTTCCTGCTTGGCGAGATTTGGCTTTACGTTCAAGGATCTTTGTCCAGTTTTCGTCTAGTGATAACCACCTTGCTGGGGTGAACGCCCACACGAACAGTTGTACCATCAGCTTTTACCCGTTGCACTCATTCAACAGGACGACATATTTCTTTTTGTAAACCTGGACTACTTTGCCAATCTGCTGCCCTTTGTGGTGTCCTCGCACACACCGAACTTCATCATCCTTTTAGGTGGGCACGAATTGAACACTGGACTTCTGTCTCAGCTCTTTGGGAAGAGGAGAAGACATAACCTTCCTATGAAAGTGGGAAGGTGTACTGAAATGCCTTTATGGTTCTTGCCCTCGGCAGAAGTCACAAAGGGACTGAACTTCATTTTGACTGCTGGTGCTTCTACAAGGGCTGCAAAGGGAAGAGCTCATATGTCTTATAAGGGTTAAGATTTAGAATATATAAAGAACTCCTACAACTCAACAACAACAAAAATATATAACATATTAGTGCTAGAGGAAAGTAAACAGAATTATACTGTTAAAGGTTCTTACACTGGAGGTATAGCAGTAAAATATTAATTTTGGTTCACTGTGATAAATCAGGAGGGCATATTGTAACCCAAGAACAACCAATTAAAAAAATAAATAAAACCAAGAGCTGAAAAGTCAATAGAGGAGAGAAAATGTAATACAAAAATTTCTCACTTTAGCCCTGGCTGGTTTGGCTCGGCGGTTAGAGTATCGGACTGCAGACCAGAGAGTCCGGGTTAGGTTCCTGCTAAGGGCAGGTACCTCGGTTGCAGTTTGTCCCCGGCCCCACTGGGGTCATGTGGGTGGAAACCCCTCGGTGCATCTCTCTCACATCGATGTTTCTCTCTCTCTCCCTCTCTCCTTCCTGCTCTATCTGAAGATAAATGCAAAAAAAATGTCCTCGGGTGAGGATAAAAAAAAACTGCGTAGGAAACTACACACAAAGGAACAAAGTAAATATGGGACAAATAGAAAAGAAACAGCAAGATAAAAGCCTTAAATTAAACCATATAAGTAATTACATTAAATGTAAATGGATAAAACAATCCAAGAAAAAATCAGAAATTTTCAGTTTTTTTAAAAAGATCTAATTGCATATGTTTATAAGAGACATAGTTTATTTTATTTTATTCTTATTTATTTATTTTTTTATCCTTACTCAAGGAAATTTTTGCATTTATCCTCACATAGAGCAGGAGGAAGGGGGGGAAGAGAGAGAGAGAGAGAAACATTGACGTGAGAGAGACACATTGACCGTTGCGGCCCACACAACCCCAACCGGGGCCAGGGACAAACTGCAACCGAGGTACGTGCCCCTAACGGGAACCGAACCCAAGACTCTCTGGGCCACAGGCGATGCTCTAACTGCTGAGCCAAACTGGCCAGGGTAAGAGACACAGTTTATATACAGACACAGAAGGCTCAAAGTAATTGAATAGAAAAAGACATACCATTGCAAATATTAATCATAAGAAAGTTGATATGGCTATATTAATACAGGACAAAGTAGACTTTAAGACTAGGTATAAAACAAAGAGGAACATTTCATCATTTCATAAGGGGAAAAAACAATTCACCAGGAAAACATTACAATCTTAAATGTGTATGTATTTAGTAACATGTTCATATCCCTATCTTCAACATATATGAAGCAAAATATATTAACCAAAAGGAAAAGCAGACAAATACACAATATTGTTGGATATTTTAACAATCCTTTGTCAGTAATTAATAAAAATAAGTACACAAATTAAAAAATGATAAAGGTGAATTTTAACAACCTGACCTACTTAATCTATTAACTGCAGAATCCAAAATTCTTTGCAAGTGCTTATGGATCATCACCAACATAAATGATGTGCTAAGGTATAAATTAGTTCTTGATAAATTTAAAAAGATTAAAATCATATCCAGTATATTTCTGGAACACAATGGAATTTAATTAGAAATCAATAATCCCAAAATTCCCAAATATTAAGAAATTGAGAAACATGTTCCTAAGTAACTACGGGTCAAAAAAAATTACTAGGGGTATTAGAAAATATTTTGACCTAAATGATAATGAAACCGCAACATGCAAAGTCTTTGGAGTACAGCTCGGGCAGAACCTAAAGGGAAAATTATAACTTTAAATAAATATTTTTTAAAAAGACAATGACCTAAGCTACCAAATCAAAAAGTTAGAAGTTAAAAGCAAATAAATGTAAAGAAATTATAAAAAAAGGAGATAATAAGGATAAGAGGAAAAAAAATTGACAAGGAAAAAAGATGAACAATAGAGAAAATCATAAAGCCAAAAGTTGGCTCATTGGAAAGATAAGAAAAATGGATGAATTCCTTGCAAGATTTATCAAGAAAAAGAGAGAAAACACAAATGATCAATATCAGAAATTAAAGTAGAGCTATCAATACAGAGATTAAAGCTATAAAGCCAATATTATAAACCATTTAATCAAATTTGACAACTGACATGAAATAAAGAAATTAAAAATAAAGTCTACTGAACTGGGTACAAGAGGAATAGAAAACATAAATAGCCCTGGCCAGTGTGACTCAGTGGTTAGAGTGTCAGCCCGTAGACCCAAGAGTCGCAGGTTCAATCCCAGCCCCACTTGGGGCGCATATGGGAGGCAACCAATTGATGTGTGTCTTTCACATCGATGTTTCACATTGTGTTCTCTCTCCCTCTCCCCCCCCCCCCCTTCCACTCAATGGAAAAAATATCTTCAGGTGAAGAGTAACCAAAAAAAAAAAGGCATGAATAATCCTATATCTGAAAAATTACCAAGCAATTGTGAAACTTTAAAAAACTCTGTAATTAAATTTCAACAATTAGAAATCTAATTGCCAGCAGACATTAATGAACCGAGAATACCCTCCTCAATCACACACTCAGCATATTTTTAATCTATCTTCTTGATAGTAGAGACCCTAAATTTTGGTTTTAGAAGTCAGTACGAATCAATCTCTCTCTCTCTCTCTCTCTCTCTCACACACACACACACACACACACACACACAGAGGCACACACACATGGGAAATTCTCTGTGATTCGGAAGGGAGCTGGTGGACATGTCCCATCTCAGCCTGTTTCTTAATGTCCGAGTGGGTGTAAAGGTCTCTTCCCTAGACCCTGAGCCCCTTGATAACATGTCCTGCCTTTCTGGCTTCTGGGAAATAGCTTCTAAGGAGCGTGCTCTCTCCCTTTTCTCACTGTGTATCTCTAAGGTCCCTTCCAACTTTAGTCCTGTTCTGTGTCCCCCATTTCTTCCATAGCTGCTCCTCTCAGGAAACACTACACTGAGGGGCTCCTTTAGTCTGACCAGAGGCGATGCTGTGTGGGCCAGAGAGACATATACATAATTTTACTACAAAACAAATGTATATCTATCAAGTCAAGATCATATCTCTATCTATACATATAGCTCCTCTGTCAATCCTTGGAGACATCTACATATCTATAAATCTACATCTATATGTATATCTATATATCTTTATTTACCCTTTGATTAAAATTTCCTTTTTCTTTTCTGCTTGATTCCAGAAAATACAAAATTGTTAACTCAGTATTTGGTAGATGATGTACAGTGGTACAGATAATCAACACACAAAATGTAGGTTTTAACACCTTAGAGCAGCTATTTTCAACCAGTGTGCCTCAAGCATTTTTAAAACATGCAATGCCTGCCTATTTAGTCAGGGGCACTGATCTCTTCCCCCTTACATTGTCAGATAAAAAAAATGACAACAAGCCAACACAACAATATCTGTCTGGTGTGAATGAATCAAAATTATACCCTTTTTCTTTTTTCTGGTCAGCTCAGCAAAAAATATATGTTTTGGTGTGCTACAGAATTAGTTTGAGTGTGCCATAAGATGAAAAAGGTTGAAAACCGCTGCCTTAGAGTGAAATTTCCCTCGAACATGGCCACATACGCTCATTAATGCCCCTGGGCACTCGCAACACATACTGGCATGTAAGGTTTGAAAGTCCCATAGTAAAAATAGGGAAAATGGAGTAAAATGGTCATTAACCAAAAATAATACCAAATAAGCCCCCAAGGAGTTTTACCTTTTCCTTTGGGAAGGAGTAAAATAAGAGTATTTTATAAATGTGGGTTTATTTTAGGAATCAAAGACAATTTACTTTATGTGCTTCAAATTTAGTTTACAAAACCAGAGTCCCAGTACAAACACACTGACAGTGTTTCTTGGACTCTCCAGGGTTAGTGCATTCACTGGTATGCCAAGTTAGAGGAGATGTGTCAGAACTATCTTTAGAATAATGCTTATCTTAGAAAAAAACGATACATAAGACTTGCCTGCAAATATTTTAAGATTTTGTTTGAATACAAAGGATAAAAATATTAACACCTACAGTATTTCGCAAAATCCTTCTGCAAATCCATCCTGGCGTTGACAAAAGCTCGTCCTTTCTCGGTTCCAACGACAAACACGTCTGTTTCATACATTGCAATGCAGGCCACCTCTGCCTTGGACTTGGCCAGTTCTTTGCACTGAAATACAAAAATAAAGTGTTCTATTCAAGGGCAGATCCAGACTTTGTGGGCTCTAAGAAGACTGCTTTAAGAAAGTACAAAATTAGGTGCAACATTTTTTAGAATGAGAAAAATCACCAAGAAGAAACCAAAACAAATGTATCAAGCAAATACCATAAACCCATCATAGAACCCCGAGGAGAACATAGTTTTATGGACTACCTGTGATACTGTGATTTACAATAAGGAATATATATTTGGTCTTTGTCCACTGTTCCCAGCACACCACTCCTAAAACCCTTGGAATTTTCCCAGTGAAGAGAATGATAAAGGTGAGTTCTGTGAGCCTTTCTAACAAATTAATCAAACCTGAGAAGTGGGTCATGAGAACCCACATTTATGACAGATCAAAAGCACAGGTGACAATGTGATTGCAACAGACACCTGAAGGGGGGCAGTGCTGTAGGACTGAACCCGTAACTGGTGGGACCGGATGCTGTCTCTGGGTAGAAAGTGTCAGACCTGAGTTGAATTGTAGGATACCAGCTGGGGTCGGAGAATTGCTTGTTTGTGTGGGAAACCTGCCCCAATATATTGGAATTAGGTGCAGAATCTTTTTTTTCTAGTTTTGGCTGTCAACTCTTTGATTGCCTCTTCCTGTGACAATAATCATTTAAACATCATCTTAATAATTTAATATGTCCTCCAACATGGTTCATTACATTTTCATTATTGATGGTAGGGACGTATAAAACATGAAACTCACACACAGACACACTTGCTGTTCATCGTAGTGCTGCAGGCTTATATGGTCTACACACGCATTCTGACACACTGTACTATGTGGAATTCCTTTCAAAGAGTTAAAAGAATGTTTGGTGTATTTATAACTACATATGCTACATTACTGGGTATATTCCTGACCATATATGGGTATATTTCGACAAGGCGTCAATAAAAAACAAATCCTCTGTTTATAATTTTACCTGTTTAATGATCAGAAGAATTTTCCACAGACCAGCATTTGGCTAAACCTTGTTTCATCTCCGCTACCCAGATATGCTCACACCACAAACAACCCCAGGCTTTGTCCCTTGATGTCATGTTACCGGATCAGTTGACATAGTGGACTATAGAAAAATTCCTGGAAACTATTCCTACACTGGGATTTTGAGCAATAACTTACTTGGATATAAAAATAACAGCAAGCCAAACTAAAACTAAATGTATCCTCAGTCCATCTTCCCCTTGTCAAGACCCCAAAGATGCCATGTCGGCTCCAACATCACCTGACATGGTGGATTAGGTCGGCAGAATAATGGCCCCACAAAGATGTCCATGTCCTAATCCCCAGAACCTGTGAATAGGTGACCTTACATGGCAAAGGGGACTTTGCCGATGTGACTGCATTTAGGATCTCGATACAAGGAGGTACTTTTGGATTATCTAGGGTGGCCCAATGTAATCACAAAGGTGCTCATAAGGAAAAGAGGAAGGCAGAAGGAGATGAGACAATGGAATCAGAGGGCAGATTGGTGCCCTTGCTGGAAGGGGCCACAGGCCTAGTGATATGGGTGGCTTCTAGAAGCTGGATAAGTCCAGGCACAGATTCTCCTCGGAAGCCTGCAGAAGCAACACAGCTCTGTTGACACCTTGATTTTAGGCCTGCAAAACCCATTTTCTGCCTTCTGACCTTCAGACAGTAAATGTATGCTAAAATTTTTATAATATGTGTATTTTATAATATGCACGAAGTTTGTGTGGTTTGTTACAGCAGCTGTAGGAAACTAGTACAGGGGCTATGGCAAAGAAAGTCAGAGTAGAAGGAGACAGCAACCTTAACTGATGTGGCTAACATACCTTATTCCAGCAAATTTTACAAAAACATGTGCACATACTGCTAGGACCCTCCCAAGACCGTGGAAGGGGCCAGTGCAAGGGGGAGCCCAGAACTCAGGCTCCTTCAGCTTCATGGCAAATCTCTCTGTGTCAAATAAACCAAAAATTCAGCAGTTAATGTGACGTAGAGACTCTGGTATCAGGTGAAGTTACCCATTCTTAGTCTTACTGTGTCATTATCATCAATTGAAAATATATTTTTAAAAAGCATTTTTTCTCATTATGAAATATACATATTATAAAACTTTAGCAGATACAGAAAAGTACACAGAAAAAAGAAATCCCCTGGAACTCCATTATCCAGAATTAAGCACTATTTACGTTTTGAAATATGCACACACACATACGTAATTTTTATTTATTTATTTCTTAATTATTTTTCTTTATTGATTTTAGAGAGAGGAAGGGAGAGGGAGAGAAATAGAAACATCGATGAGAGAGAACATTGACTGGCCACCTCCTGCACGCCCCTCACTGGCGATTTGGCCCACAACCTGGGCATGTGCCCTGACTGGGAATCAAACCGGCGACCTTTTGGTGCATGGGTTGATGCTCAACCACTGAGCCAACCAGCCGGGCATAATTTTTAAAAACAAAATGAGAATCGTATTACTATACAGTAGGTTGGCCTTCTGCTTTATTCACTTACTATTTTTGAGCATTTATAATCCTGAAAAACATGATTTTTAAGTAAATATATAATAATCTGTCCTGAGTTATCCAGTTGGGTCCAATGTTAGTTTAACCATAACATTATTGAAAGTTTTTTTCCTGTTACTCATAAGACTGTAACAAACGTCCAAGAACATAAATGTTTCTGTACATGTTCGATTATTTCTGTGGGCAGAATCAGACATGTGGAACACCTGAGTCAAGGGGTATAAATTATTTATGGTTCTTGAAACGTATTACAAATAGTATTTCAGAGGGGCTCACACTCCCACCAGCACTATAATAGAGGCCATGCCACCTCACCATCACAAGCACTGAGAATCACTAATTGTGGGCTGGGCTTACTGACTTGCTTCCCCAGAACAGGACATGGAGCGGGAAAAACAGTAACGTGACAAGGGAGAAATGTGGCAGATGCTACCTGTAGTAGTCAGGGGTCTCCAGAGAAACAGAACCAATAGGAGACTGTATACATACAACATGAGGTTTGTTACAATGAAATGGCCCATGTGATTGGCTGAGAAGGCCCATGTCTGCTGTCTGCAAGCTAGAGAGAGACCCAGGAAAGCCGGTGGTATAGGTCAAAGGCCCGAGGAGTGGGAACTGATGGAGTAAACTCTGGTCCGAGTCTGAAGGCCTGACAAGCAGGAGTGCAGAGGGCAGGAGATCAGTGTCTCAGCTCAACAGGCGGGCAGAGAACAAATTCAACCTTCCATCGTTTTGTTCTAGCTGGACCCTCAGTGGGGTAGAGGATGCATTCCCATAGCCGGGAGGGCCACCTGCTTTATTCAGGTCACAAACTCAAGGGCTCATCTCTTTCAAAACTCCATCACAGACACCCCCAAAGTATTAGTTAGCCAGTTATTTGGGCATCCCCTGGCCCAATCAACTTGACACATACAATTAATCATCACACCACCTTGACCAAGTGATCAAGGTGAACCTTACCAGTGATTAGACATGTTGATGTCATGAACCACCTGATACAAAGTGATGAAAGGCAAACCTCTGTGATGAAGGTTAAAACCGCTGTGGTTGCCCTGGCCGGTTTGTTCAGTGGTTAGAGCGTTGGCCCATGGACCAATGAGTCTCAGGTTCGATTTCGGTCAAGGGCACGTACCTCGATTGCAATTCATCCCCAGCCCTGGTTGGGTCATGAGGGAGGTAACTAGTCGATGTATCTCTCTCACATTGATGTTTCTCCCCCCACCCCTCCCACTCTATCTGAAGATAAATGGAAAATATCCTCGTGTGAGGATTTAAAAAAAACCAAATTCTCAAACAAGGTAACACAGGTGCCTTCATAAAAATTTCAGATCTGGAAAGCTTACATTTTTTTTTATCCTCACCCGAGGACATTTTTCCATTTTTTGTTCAGATAGAGTGGGAGGGAGAGAGAGGAAGAGGAAGAGAGAGAAACATCGATGTGAAGGGACACATCGAGTGGCTGCCACCTGCACGACCAACCAGGGCCACGGACAAACTGCAACCGAGGTACGTGCCCTTAGCGGGAACCGAACCTGGGTCTCTCTGTACTGCAGGCCGACGCTCCAACCGCTGAGCCAAACCGGCCAGGGCAAAAGCTTACATTTTTATCCATAATGTAAGAAAAACAAAAATAAGATAATTTTTAAAAAGTATATGACAAGCCCTGGCCGGTTTTGCTCAGTGGTTAGAGCGTCAGCCCAAGGATCAGAGTCACGGGTTCGATTCCAGTCAAGGGCACATACCTCAGTTGCGATTTGATCCCTGGCCCTGGTTGGGGTCATGCGGGAGGCAACCAATTGCTATCTCTCTCACATTGATGTTTTCTCTCTCTCTCTCTCTCTCTCTTCCTCCCTCCTCCCCTCCCACTCTAACTGAAAATCAAGGGAAAAATATCCTTGGGTGAGGATTAAAAAAAAAAATTATCTGACAATCCGATTATCCTCTATGAAGGTTATGCTTACATAGACAAGATGGAAAACTTTAATTGAATATTAAAAATGACAGTGAAGTGTTTCACAGTTGTGTTATTTCTATGGTTACCCAACCGCGGAACGTCTTATAGAACTGTACCCCATCTCACCATGGACTCCAGAGCAGACACGAGGAACGTCACCACCATCCTGCTCTCTGGGGATGCGTCGTTTTCCATGGGCATGGTAGACGTGGCTACTTGTGCCATGATCCCTGCGCAAGAGAATTAAGAAGAAAGTGAGTGGAAGAAATCCAGTGTCTTGTTAAACACACATTTAGACCTGTAAAGATCCACCACATGACCTAGTTCAAACCTTCCTTCAGAGTTGAAGAAATTGACACTAAATGACATTGATTTACCCAAGATCTCTGTATAGTAATGCTTTCATATAGTGGATATATTTTCTACTAAACCTAGACATCACCTCCTCATAAAGTAAATTCAGGTGTTATGCTAGAGAAGCATGGTAACTACTTCCTAGATGAGGAGGAGAAGGCATGAACTTACTGATCCAGTGACGTTTTGCAGATTTCAGCACGGCAGTGCCAGACACCACATTCTGTTTCACATGCACAGAAAAGGAGATACGTGGGTTTGTATACTAAAGACGGGAAGATAAAATCCCTTCTTTTCCTGCTAGGACTTCTGCATAAAAGCTCACTCCAAATTTCGCCAAACTCTGTATCGAGTTAGCATTATAACATTTATTTGAACCCTGGCTGGTTTGGCTCAGCGGTTAGACCAGAGTCATGGCTTCGAGTCCGGTCCAGGGCATGTACCTTGGTTGCAATTCAGTCCACGACCCTAGTTGGGGTCGTGTGGGAAGCAACCAATCTATGTGTCTCTCTCCCATTCATGTTTCTCCCCCCCCCCCCCCAGCTCTGTCTGAAGACAAATGGGAAAAAAGTATCCTCGGGTGAGGATTAAAAAAAAAAAAATTCCTTTGAAAAGTTTCTCTGACACCATAGAAAACTTTGTAAAATAAAGCATGCAAAATGAATACTTGTCACGCCCCTGCCATAGTTGGCTTAATTATATTTGTAAGCAAAAGGTGAATAAAGCAGGCCAGGCTGGTGACACCAGCTCAAGGAGCGTGAGGCATGAGGCACTGGTCCCACAGGATCGGCAGCCAAGAAAGCCAGGTTGTGGGTTTCCCAGACCATTAACCAGTCCGTGACCGCAGTGAGCTGCACCCAGACTCCTCTACGAGGAAGGAAACACTAAATCAATCACCTTCACCTCTGACCATTTCTGAGCCCCCTCAATTTAAAATCAAGGGAACCACATATTTTATGAGTCCATCCATATGTAATGTCCAGAACAGTACAATCTCAGAGACAAAGATCAGAGGTGGTTTAGGACTGAGGGGAGGGGTAGCTATGGGATATAGGTTTTTTAAAATTTTTTTTAAATTTATCTTTATTGTTGAAAGTATTACAGATGTCCCTCCTTTACCCCCATTCATTGACCATCCCACCCCCCACACCCCTGCCTTCACTGCACTATATATGCAGGGTTTCTTTCTGGGGTGCTGAAAATGTTCCAAAATTGATACCCTAAAAACCACTGCACCCTGGCTGGTTTGGTTCAGCGGTTAGAGTGTCGACCTGCGGTTCAGAGAGACCCGGGTTCAGTTCCTGCTAAGGGCATGTACCTCGGTTGCAGTTTGTCCCCGGCCCTGGTTGGTTGTGCGGGTGGCAGCCACTCGATGTGTCCCTTTCACATCGATGTTTTTCTCTCTCTCTCTCTTTCTTCCTCTCTCTCCCTCCCACTCTATCTGAACAAAAATGGAAAAATGTCCTCAAGTGAGGATTTAAAAAAAAAAACCACTGGACTGTATACATTATTTTATGACAGTTTTTAAATTTTGTTATTAATCCTCACCCGAGGATATTTTTCCATTGGTTTTTAGACAGAGTGGAAGGGAAAGAGGGAGAGAGAGAAACACTGACGTGAGAGAGACCTATCAGTTGGCTGCCTCCCCAATGATCCTGACTGAGGCAGGGATTAAACCTGCAACCCGGGCACAACTGGGAATCAAATCCGAGACCTTCCAGTCTGAGGGCTGACGTGCTAACCACTGACCCAAACTGGCCCAGGCTGGAAGGTATACTTTAAATGGGTGAATTGTGTGGTATGTGAATTTTACCTAAATAAAACCGTTTTTATTTTGATTTTTTAAATGTTTTTATTGACTTTTAGAGAGCAAGGAAGGGAGAGAGAGATAGAAACATCAATGTGAGAAACATGGATCAGCTGCCTCCTGCACTCCCTCTACTGGGGATCAAGCCCACAACCCAGGCATGCGCCCTGACCTGGAATCAAACTGGGATCTCTGTCCATGGGACGGCGCTCAGCCCACTGAGCCACACTGGCTGGGCAATAAAGCTGTTTTTAAAAATCAAACAAAATCAGAGTGGTTGGATGGAGAAAAAGGAAATTAACACTTAGAGAACACATACTATTTGCCAGTGCTTTTTTTTTTTTTAATCCTCATCCGAGGACATTTTTCCATTTTTTTGTACAGACAGAGTGGGAGGGAGAGAGAGGAAGAGAGAGAGAGGGAAACATCGATGTGAAAGGGACACATCGAGTGGCTGCCACCCGCACAACCAACCAGGGCCGGGGACAAACTGCAACCGAGGTACATGCCCTTAGCGGGAACCGAACCCGGGTCTCTCCGAACCGCAGGTGGACGCTCTAACCGCTGAGCCAAACCGGCCAGGGCTGCCAGTGCTTTTTTGATAATCCAATTTAATACACACTCTCTAAGGGAAAAATTACTCCCATGCAAGCACTCAGAATGGGGGGAGCCTATTCAGGGCTGTGCAGCTGATGCATGGTGGAGCGGGGGCTGGGATACAGTGGAGGAGCAGACAAGCAAACTGAAAGCCACTCAGAGCCCAGATAAAGGATCTCGAAGGGGCAGGTGCCCCATGATTCATTCGGGTGACCACATGTCCCAGGCCAGATCAGTCCCAGTTCACCCTGCCTTGCGGGTAAGTTAGTAAGAGCACTCCCTTCGATCTCCAGTGCCTGGAGAATGCATTATAAATTGTTCCCATGTGGGTGGTTTGTGAAATGAAAAAAACATCCCAAGGACATGACTGTTGTATGTCCTTGAAACAACCTCTAAGCTCAGAGGTTTCTCAAAAAAACAATCAAAGTGGGACACTCATTTTCTGAGCTCAAACATTGTTTATGTCTTCGTATTTTATTTAGCAAGAAGAAAAATGGTAAAAATGACCATTTACTCTTTCCTTTTAAGAAAAAGGAACAAGTTTTATTGTAAAAATTCCTCAACTAATGTAAACTAGACCCTCATTAGAATTACATTTTATATCTCTGACTATCAAAGGTGAAATACCTGTTCATGTCATAAAAATTTTTTGGTAAGTTACACTTGAGTTTGTAGTTTCCTTTTACTGTATGCCTGGGCTGAGTTATGGAGAAATGGGCACCTCAGGAACTTATTAATTAAAGTCAAGGTCTCAGAGACCTGAAATATTAACCTTTGGAAATAAAAATTAGGAACATAAAAAAATAAACGAGGCATCCATTTCAAGATTTCAGAGGTTTGATAAACAGAGTGGATGACATTTCAAGTGATGGAAATTTTTTTTCCTTTTTTTAATCCTCACCCGAGAACATTTTTGCATTTATCTTGAGATAGAGAGGGAGGGAGAGAGGGAAGAAGAGAGAGAGAGAAACATTGATGCGAGACACACGGAGTGGCTGCCACCCACACGACCCCAACTGGGGCCGAGGACAAACTGCAACCAAGGTACGTGCCCTTAGTGGGAACCGAACCCAGGTCTCTCCAGTCTGCGGGCCAATGCTCTAACCACTGAGCAAACCGGCCAGGGCCCAAGTGATGGGAATTTTAATAGATGGAAAGGAATTCTAGATCAGAACAGGCAAACTTTTTCTGTAAAGGGACAGATAATTAATATTTTCAGCTTTGGAGATGTGGTCTTCTTCATGTGCCTTAACCCTGCAGCAAAGCAGCCACAGACAAGCTGTAAATCAATGAGTGTGGCTGTGTTCCAATAAAACTTTATTCACAAAAATAGGTGGCAGTCTGGATTTGACCCACAGACTGAAGACCGTTAACCCGTTCTAGATGTTTACTTTTCGTTAGTAACTATTACGTTGAAAAGTCGAGAAAGTCTTCAAAGATTGCTGAGAAAACTATATGAAATTTGAAAGATTTTTAAGTTTACATGTCCAGTTCTTAAAGAGCAAAAAATTATGTATTATATAACATCTGTGATCACAATATATACATCAAATTGCTATGGTGTACATCTAAAACGAATACAATGTTATATGTCAATTCTATCTCAATAAAACTGGCACACATTTTTAAGAAAAGAATAACAAGAAATTTTAAGAGAATCAAGTATTCTATTCTGGAACGATCAAGGAGTATGGAAGAAAATGAGAAACAACACATATTTTCAATAAAATATAAACGATTAACAAATAACCAAGAACTTTAGCTTAACTCAATAAATGAATAAACATTAAAAACAATAACCACCAAAAGTATACTGAGCACCTGCTATGTGAAAACATCCACGCTGGCAGGAAGGGCAGGGAAGAAACAAAGGTGAGTAAAATCCACTTCCCGCGCTCTCAAGTGAGGCAGACCACAGACATGGCAGGATAGCAAGTAATAAAGGCACCGTGAAAAGCCAGACACCCTTGGAATGGTCCAGGGCACGTGGGAACACAGAATCAACCACTGAGGGCATGAGAGAGTGAAGGCTCTTCAGCAAGTTCTGAGGAAAGAAACGGTCCAGGTTGAAGTGTGGGCAAACCCCTGGCGCTCTGGGCAGCAAACATCAGGGGCTAAACCAGGGGCAAACAGGAAGAACGGTGACCCACTCCAAGTTGCTACTGCAGATTAACACCTGTGGCAGCTGGCGCCAAGCCCTGTGTCCACTAAAGGTGAGGTGGTCAGTCACACATATCACACGTTCCTCTCCAAGTGAAGAAAAGAGGGAGAAAAGGCTGCTTAATTTTTCATTTGCAGCTCTGAGTAAATCCAGTCTTATACATAGACGTCTGTTTACTTCAAAGTACAGCATGAAACTGAACTGTAAAAATTTTCCCCCTTAAAACACAAAGCTTGGCCCAGAAATTCCATTACTTGGTATATACCCGAGTTGAAAACATATGCACAGACAAACGTGTACACGAATGCTCACAGCATTATTCACAATAGCCAAAAAATGGAAACAACCTTAATTTCCATAAATTGACAGAAAATAAAAATGTGGTATACCCATATAATCGTTATTCAGCCATAAAAGAGAAAGAAAGAAACCAGGCCTAAATGACCCCTTAGTTTATCTACAGGAAATGTCCAGAATAGGCAGAGCCAGGGGCAGGGGCAGGAAATGGGGAATGACTGTCACAGTTTAATGGGGGCTCTGTGAGGCAAAGTGCAAGTTCCAGAAGGTTTTCTTTTTGTTTATCCTCACCTGAGGACATTTTTCCATTTTTTGTTCAGATAGAGTAGGAGGGAGAGAGAAGTGGGGGGGGGGGGGGGGGGGGGGGGAGAGAAACATCGACGTGAAAGGGACCATCGAGTGGCTGCTACCCGCACAACCCAACCAGGGCCGGGGACAAACTGCAACCAAGGTACATGCCTTTAGTGGGAACTGAACCCGGGTCTCTCTGGACCACAGGCCAACGCTCTAACCACTGAGCCAAATCAGCCAGGGCCCAGAAGGTTTTCCTAAGTCTCTCTGAGCTTCACGAAGTCCTTCTGGTTGCCTGCTCTGGCAGTTCACTCATTCCAGTGCCTTTTCTTCAAAATGAGTCTTATATCTGTTCACAAAGCCGCATTCCTGCCCTGGCTCATTTATGTGACTAAAAAATAAGTGAAGATGCAGGAAGCTACAGAAAAGTAGTTCTACTTCTGGTTTTGTGCTAATGAACATGGAGAAATAGTCAAGGTTAGTTCTCACCCACCCTGCCTGTTTATGACAATGACCTCAGTGACACCTGCCATTCTAAGATGTGCCAGAGATTGTGACTGAGTAAAATAAGGGGAAAAAGTAAGAAATGGGGCTCAATGGTTATCCCGTTCCCCTGGTGGGCACCTGTTATTGGTTGGTGGGTGTTTGTTTACACCAGTGAAGTCCTGGCCAGGTAGGTGGCTAGCAATGTGATTGATGCTCTGACCCAAGGACTTGTCACTGCTGAGAAGTACCATCATTGCAGCAGGCCTTCCCCAGGCTTGTGTGTTTGAGACTGGGTTGAAGCCTGTCTGGTCTCCTGATGTAAGTAGAGGGTAGCGTTGCCCATCTTTTGTTTGGATGACCCCCACCCTACACCAAGCCAGTGGTGCACCTGGCTCTTCTGGGGCCTGCTGCTCTACTGCTGTGTGAGTCATATCCTCACCTATGCAAGGGCCCTCCCTGTAGGTGCTCACATTTGACTAAGCTGCTCTGGAGAAACCCCCCATGTGCACAACACTGGCTTCCCTTCACCACCTCCTAGAACAGGACCCTAGTGGGCAGACAGCAGCTGCCAATGTCTTTCCAAAGGACTTCCATTTCCCAACTGCTCAGAGCCTGGGGCCTTCTCCCCCTGCACCTTGATTTGCTGTGCCAGGTGCTTTTTGAGCTAGGAATGGGGCTTTTGTGTTCTGGTTTACTAAACTTTGGTTGGATTTTTACTGCCAAGGGAGGTCTCTTTAGGGGCACTGCAGGGTCCCTGACTTCCCCTAAGGGAAGAGGTTATTGGAAACCCTGTTTACCAGTTAAAGTTCTTAATCCTCAAGGATATAGGGGTGAGTGTGGGAGAAGTCCCCATATGGTATATCTTCTCCAAAGTATGTTTCACTTGAAGGTTATTTTGGGTGGAAAAAAAAAACAAACAAAAAATCAAGAGCAGGGAACCACCTGGTGTCAGCTGCCAGCTACATTTGCTTACAGGCCTCAACCGGTGGGAAGACCCCTTGGCTACAAGGCCTGGTAAGGTACAAGGTGCCAGAGCTCCAGGGCACTGGCTCAGCCTCCTCACACTGCTCACCCGTATGAGCAGACAGCTGCTGAAGGACCCACAGGTGCTGTTTGCTGGCTACAAAGTCCCCCACCCCTTGGAGCACAAGATCATCATCCGTGTGCAAACCACACCAGACTACAGCCCCCAGGAGGCCTTCACCAATGCCATCACAGACCTCATTAGCGAACTCTCCCTGCTGGAAGAGCGATTCCGGGTGAGGAGCCAGTCGTGCAGGGCTGGGGTGGGTTGGGTTGGTCTGGACAACATCCTGTATGCCCGAGATGTGGGTTCTCATGCCCACACCTAGGACAACCCTGGGTTGTTACCTCTCATTTATTTGGGGGGAAGGGATAGAGGTGATGACAGAGCAGGGACTTCTACCATAGCCTCCAGGAAGTGTGGATGAGGTTATGGAGTTGAGGCCTGGGGCCTGTTGTCTGCATCCATGGGTGGGAACCTTACCTAGTGCTCCAGGGTCTCCTTGTGCACTCTGTGGTCCCTATGGCAGCAAGGGGCCTACTGCCCCTTAGTGCTGTTCCTCCAAGTCTGTTCTCTGTGCTGGCTGCTCTGTGGTTTTTAAGGCTGGCTGTGTCCAGGGTGCAGGGGTGGGGAACTGCCGGCCTGCAGGCCATATAAGGCCCGAGAAATCAATACCAGCTAACATCACACGCCTCACCAAATTAGCCTGACCAAATATAGCAAGCTAATTTTTAAGTTGATAATTTTGTATGGCCCTTGAATGATGTTATAAATATCCAAATGGCCCTTGGCAGAAAAAAGGCTCCCCACCCCTGGATGGAATCAGGGTTTCTTTTTGGGTGATGAAAATGTTCTGAAATTAGATAGTGGTGATGGCTGCAAAACTGTGAATAAACGATAAACCAATGAATTGTGCGCTTTTAAAGGGTGATTTTTATGGCATATCACACTAAAGCTGTTATTACACAGCAAAGCTTGGGTTTAAAGGGCAGAAAATACAGCCTTACCCGTCTTTCCCCCGCTTTATCTCTAAACCATAAGTGATGGGCTGCAGTCTTGAGCCAGAGACCCATCTTAAGGCCTCTGAGTTTATTTTCCGCCAACAAGCCGCTACAGACTGCAAGACTGACTACACCCCCACCAAAACCCACGCCCCAGGCCACTCGGTTACGCACAAGGTGAGGGGCGGAGTCAAGGCGCCTTTGCCATGGAACCGGGCGTAGTTACCAGGCAACAGGGGGAGCCCCGCCCCCTAACCTAACCAATCAGGCAGCTCAAGAGCCCCATGTACGTCAAATGGGGCGTGATCTTACGCGCATCAGGCTCCAGAGAGCTAAGGGCTTGCAGCATCCTCCCCCACCGCTCCGCCTAGCCAATCAGAAGGGAGAAGGATGCGCGTTCTGTGCGTACGACCGTTGCCCCCACGGCTGGGCTTCCTCGCCCCACCCCCACTCCTCGGGCCCTGCCCGCCGGCAACGGGGTTCGGGGCCCGCTGGGCCGGCGGGGAAGGGGGAGCATCCTTCCGTGCGCCTGGGCGGGCGGCCTCCCTAAGCCTAGCTTTCGACAGGCCCGCAGAAGGAGAAAGTACCAAGAAAAGCACCCACTCTTAATGGCGACGGGGGTGGGGTACGCACCTGAGGTCCCGCCAGCGGGCAGCGGCCGGGAGGCCGCGGGGTCCGAGGGCTAGGCCACTGGGGAGCGGCCAAAGGTTGAGGGTAGCAGCCGGACGGCGAAGAGGTGGGGGCGCGGCGCGTGGGCGGCGATCGAGGGCCTGCTCCCCACTATCCCTCCTTTTTCTCTTTCTCTTTTTTTCCCTTTTTTTTTTTTTTGGCTTCCTGGAAGGCAGCCTCAACTCGTGTGTCCGCAGCGCCCCAAGTGGGAGCTGCCGTTTCCGGTGCTGCAGAATCCAGCTCGGCTGCACGCTGAGTGTGGAGGCTCAGTCCGGCTGGGCTGAAGGTCAGACGGGCTCATCGGGCTCCAGCCGCTGAGTGAGTGGCTGGCACGTGTCTGGCCTCATCCCTAGACACCGCCCCCAAACGTGGAGTACCTTCTTGCTGTTATTTAATGTACTTTAGTGTGGTTGCTATGTGTAGCTTTGTAGTGAGATCACAACTCCACTGACGGGGTGAAGCTGCCTTGAAGCCATCGAATTGTTATAAACTGGAACAGCGTGTCCTCACCTTTCCGTGGGGTCAGTGACAGCCAACCAGTCATGAGCTGTCCATCATGCCTTATTTATATTTTAAAGAAGTATCAGACAAAATTGAAGGCAACGATCTCATTCCTCTGCCTTTCCTTGACCAGAGATAACTGCTGTCTTGAAGCCAATGTGTTTTAATACATATTTTCTTTTGCAAAAAAGTGTCCCAAGCATGCTGACATTTTTTTAAAATAATAGTTTATTGATTTTGAGGGAGGGGGAGTTAATCCTCACCCGAGGATATTTTTCCATTGGTTTTTTAGAAAGAGGAAGAGAGGGCCCTGGCCGGTTTGGCCCAGCGGTTGGAGCGTTGGCCTGCGGTCCCGAGAGACCAGGGTTCGGTTCCCGCTGGGGGCATGTACCTCGGTTGCAGTTTGTCCCCGGCCCTGGTCGGTCGTGTGGGTGGCAGCCACTCGATGTGTCCCTTCACATCGATGTTTCTCTCTCTCTCTGTTCCTCTCTCTCCCTCCCGCTCTACCTGAACAAAAAATGGAAAAATGTCCTCGGGTGAGGATAAAAAAAGAAAGAGGAACAGAGGGAGATACATCTATGTGATAGAAACACATAGACCCCCACACGACCCCTTTCAGGGCTGGGGCTCAAAACTACAACCTAGGTAAGTGCCCTTGACTGGAAATTGAACCCGAGACCCTTCCCAGACCCTTCCCACCGCTGAGCCAAACCAGCCAGGGCATTCATCTTTTAGAGAGGAAATGAGGGGAGAGAGAGAGAAACATGTGAGAGGGTACTATCCATCAGCTGCCTCCTGCACACCCTCCACCTATGGTGGATGGAGCTCTCAACCTGGGCATGTGCCCTGACTGGGAATCAAACCAGCAACCTTTTGGTGCCTGGGAGGACACCTAACCAACTGAGCCACACTAAGTGGCTATCAATATGTTTCCTAACAGATGGCTATTTTTCTTTTTTGTATTTTTTAATCTGGGCTTTCAAGGTAAAGATAAATAATTAGTTGAGAAAGTACCTGCTTTTTTGACATCGTTTTAAAAAGAGATGTTTGAGCCCTGGCTGGTTTGGGTCAGTGGTTAGAGCATTGGCATGTGGACTGAAGGGTCTCAGGTTCCATTCCCAGCCCTGGTCAGGGTTGTGTGGGAGGTAACCAGTTGATATGTCTCTTATATCATTTCTCTCTCACTCTCCTTCCTTCCCTTCCACTCTATCTAAAAATCAATGGAAAAATATCCTCAGGTGAGGATTAATAAAAAATAAAAGATATTTGAAAATATTTGTTATGTTAGAGTTGATTCTCCTTATTCACTAATGTTCTATAAAGTCATAGTAAATATTGACTTAGCAAAACTGAACCACTGTTCCCAGGGGAAACACAAGGTTAGGTTTTTGCCAGCCTAGCCATTACATTTTTGTGATCTCAGCTATATATAACCTTGTTTTATGTGTGTTTCTGTTTAAAGATAACTTATTTACGATATATTGTTAATTCATTAGTTGAACTCAGAGCCAATAGCATTGTAACTCATGTGGAAGGAAGCTTATCTAGCAAGTGTTTCCTGCATAAGACACATTATACCTTTCTAGTGCTTAGGAACACTAGACAACACCTCCTGGGCATTTTTTTAAGGGGGGGGGGCATGTTTATTTGAGGTGCCAAAGCAGCAAGAGGCTCCCGGGTGGGGGTGGGGGTGGGCATGGTGGAGACTGAGCTGGGTGTGGGGGTAAGGGCTGACCCCTGGGCCCACAGCCTGGACCTGGAGGCTGCTGTGGAGTGGGGGGTACAGAAGTGCCCAAGAACCAGCTCTGGTGTTGGAGCTCAGGGCTCTTGGGCTGTGTACCCCCAACTGTTCCCCCAGCACAGCCAGCAGGACTTCACAGACATCCGTCCACACAGCTGGGGTCAACTGCATGTTCCCATGCCATTGTCAGGGCAGACAGGGCCCGGATGGGAGCAGGGCCTGGGGTTAGGCATCCTTTCCAGTGTCTCTGTGACTCAGTTCTGACTACTGAACCCAAAGGCTCCAGAGGGACCCTCAAATGAGGACAGTCTCATCACTGACCCTGGAATTGAGGGTGCAGGGGACAGGCCTGACGGTGGGGACTGAGGAGGAGGGGGTGGGATGGGGCAGGACGAGGAGTTGAGGGTCGAGTGGGGCTGGGTTTTCCTTACTGAGCTGTGGGAGGCAGGGCCCGGCACAGGTCCTTGTGGTCAGGCACCCGGGCGCAGCAGAGCCGACAGCAGGCTAAGCAAGAGCCTGAGGCCAGGCATGGTGGCGCTGGCCGGCAGCCCACTGTCAGCCGCGCTGATGTTGCACAGGAAACTGGCAGCAGTGGGTGCCCATGGACACCATGCCGATGTTGATGTTGGGGGGTGTGGGGCAGACCGGGGAACAGTCCTTGTTCAGGCTCTGGCCAAAGTCCACCATGTTCCCCACGCTGGGCCGCAGCAGATATGGTCACACAGTAGTTGTCAGAGTCGGAGCAGATGGTGGGCATCAGGCAGTAGAAGTTGCTGTTCTGATTCATGCAAGAGAAGCACACCAGGGAGTGGGCTCGCTCCACACTCAGAAGGGCAGCCAGCAGCAGTGGCAGGAAGTCCTTCATTCTGGAGGGGACAGGCTCCCGTTCAGGTTTCACACGTTTGGGTTTCACGTGCACAGAAAGCCCTCTGCGATTGACACCCCTTAATCCCCTCAGGGGCATTTTAAACAGCAAAACCAACACACATCACAAAAAATATAAAAAATAGAGCATGAAACAGACCAGTGTGATAGTGGCTTCTTTGACTTATAATGTAAATATAAAAATTCTCAATACACTGTTTTCATTTAAAAATTGTTAAAATGATACATTTTGTTATGTATATTTTACAATAAAAACATTAAAACATTTTTTTTCTTTATCGACTTTTTTTAGAGAGAGAGGAAAGGAGTGGGAGAGATAGAAACACTGATGAGAGAGAATACCGACTGGCCACCTCCTGCATGTCCCACACTGGGGATTTGGCCCACAACCTGGGCACGTGCCCTGACTGAGAATCGGACTGGCAATCTCTTGGTGCATGGGTCAACGCTCAACCTGAGCCAGGTACAATAAAAAAGTTTTAAAGGTGAAAATCCTCCCATTATATGATGCAGGCATTCCACTTACAGATATTTACCTAAGACAAATAAAACATATGTCAATACAAAGACTCTTACATGAATGTTCACAGCAGCTTTATTCATTATATCTGATGCAGGAAACAAGCTAAATGTCATTCAACAAGGAAATCAATAAGCAAATTGTGTTATGTCCATATAATGGAATGGTACTCAGCAATCAAAAAGTGAATTCTGGGTACATGTAAAAACATAGATTAGTTTCCAAAATCATCATGTTAAGTCAAAGAAGCCAGACATAACAGAGTCTGTATTTTATGATTATATATACATATTATTCTAGAAAGTGCAAACTTTCATAATGGTGGAAAATATATAAATTTCTTAGCATCAGGGGTGGAGAAAGCAATTGACTACAAAAGACATAAGGACACTTAGCAGGGGATGGAATTATGCTGTTTTGCGATTATGGTGATGCTCAAAGAGGTGAATACACTACACATTTTTTTTTTTTTTTTTTTTTGATATGTGCCCCTAGCAGGAACCGAACCCAGGACTCTCTGGTCCGCAGGCCGATGCTCAACTACTGAGCCAAACTGGCCAGGTCACATTACACATTTCTCAAAAATTGTCAAACTACTGTTTAAATGAATGCAGCTTATTAATACATAAATTACACCCCCATATTGATTAAGAAAATCAGCCCTTAACATTTCTGCATCATAAAATGTTAAAAGTACTTTAATGTGAGCATATGCAGGCACACTGTTCTCACTAAAATCATCTTACCACTGCTACTGTCTAACCACAACGATTTCTAATGAGAGCCAATAGTTTAATAAACAAAATAAGACATTTGTTTAAAAGTTGTTTGGGCCCTGGCCGGTTTGGCTCAGCGGTTGGAGCGCCGGCCTGCGGTACAGAGAGACCCGGGTTCAGTTCCCGCTAAGGGCACGTACCTCGGTTGCAGTTTGTCCCCCGCCCTGGTCGGTTGTGCGGGTGGCAGCCACTCGATGTGTCCCTTCACATCGATGTTTCTCTCTCTCTCTCTTCCTCTCTCTCCCTCCCGCTCTATCTGAGTAAAAAATGGAAAAATGTCCTCGGGTAAGGATAAAAATAAATAAATAAATAAAAAATAAAAGTTGTTTGGTTAATCTTTATCTCATTATTGACATAATTACTTTGTATATTTTATAAACTGTATTAGTATAATAATATGTGTAAAATTATCTGTATATATATTTTCATGCTCACAAATTTTACTCTTGTGTAATCAAAATAATTTGAAGACTACTTCCCTAAAAAGTTGGAAGATCCTGTTCTCAGAATACTGAAAAGAAGAAATTCATCTACAAGCAGAGGTTTGAGACCATTCAAGAAGATGACTGAAACCAATGGTAATATTAGAGTATACCACATTTATGTGATATAAGAAGACTGAAGATGGTAAAATGTCATCTTTCTCCTAGTTAATTCCTCTCAATTAGCTCATGAATTTAATGCAATTCCAATAAAAACCCCTGTGGGATTTTTTAATGCAACTTGACAAGATGATTTTAAAATTTACATCAAAGTAAATGTTATGAATAGCAAAGACAATGTTGTAAAAGAACAAAGAAGAGTGACTTGAGTGAATAAAAATCAGAGCATATTATAAAGCTGTAGCAGTTGAAAACTTGTCATAATGTTTCAAGGATAAATCAGTAGAAACAAATAGTTTCCAGAAATTGATCCATGTATATGGAAATTTATTATATGTTATAAATGGCGTTTCGAGCCTTCAGATAAAGTCCATTAAGGTAAAATTATTTTTAGAGCATCAAATATCTTTTGAAAAAATATTGATAAATATACAGTCCAGTCCACTCATAAAGATCAACTCGAAATCTAAATATGAAAAAATTAAAGCATTAGATTAAGTGTTTTAAAACTATTATAGAATAGCTTTATGTCTTGGTTAATAGTCTTTCTAAACAAGACAGAAAGCAAAAGCTCTAATGAATAAAATTAATAAAACTGACTATATCAAAATAAAATTTTGTAGATCAGAAGACACTAAGTAAATACAGAATAACATATTTCAACACTTAAGAGTTTCTATGCAGACTATACATATAAATTATTTCCATAAATGAATGAGACAACCCAATAGAAATGTGGCCAAAGATAAGGCTAGACAATTCTCAGTAGAGGAAACATGAAATGTCAGTTACCGTAGATGTTAAAACTCCCTAGAGATTAAAGAAATACAAAGTAAATAAAAATGAGATTTGCTTTAGGTATCAGATTGACAAACATTTAAAAAAGTCTGTATCAGGGGTTGAGTATATGAAAAAATAAACCCACTCATATACTATTGAAGCACAACTTTTGGAGAACAAATTAAAAATATCTATTAAGGTTTTAACATGAGCATTTTCTATGACCTAGTAGGTCTGTTTATCAGTACCTACCTAGGAGATACCTTCATTCAGGTGCAAAAGGAAACTTGTACAAGTATATTTCTTGTAATGGCAAAAATCAGAAATGTCCAAACGTCAAGAGAAGAATGGTTAAACAAGATGTAGTTTATTCATACTAACATGCAAGAGTGAAAAATAATGGGGTAGACCTAAACAAAAACTGTTATAAATTATGTCCAATATAGTTTTTTTTTTTTATCCTCACCCGAGGACATTTTTTTTTTTCCATTTTTTACTCAGATAGAGGGGGAAGGAGAGAGGGGAAGAGAGAGAAACATCGATGTGAAAGGGACACATCGAGTGGCCGCCACCCACACGACCCAACCAGGGCCGGGGACAAACTGCAGCCAAGGTACATGCCCTTAGCGGGAACCGAACCCGGGTCTCTGTGGACCGCAGGCTGACGCTCTAACCGCTGAGCCAAACTGGCCAGGGCTCTCCAATATACTTTTGAGTGAAAAGACAAAGTTGCAGAATGAGATACATATTATTCCAATTTTCTTTAAACATACACCCACACACATAAAGTATTTTCTTATGGCACCAGATATATGTGAGATGTAGTTAAAGAGGTCTTTAGCCTTATCCATATTAGTGTTTTATTTTTTTACAAAGGTAAAAATCATATTAGTTGTATAACTGAAAATTAATAATTTACTTTCAATAAAAAATAAAATGCAAAAAAGTTAATGATAATAATTAAAATATATAAGATTAACTTCACTCTTTCTCAAACTAGAGAATTTCAGCTACTCTAAATTAACAAAGAAATGAGAACATCTACAGGAAAATGTCATTATATGTGGTGGGAAAATTTAGCTTAGCTAACATTAGCAGATCTTTTAATACATTCAAGTAGCTGATTTCGGCTGTGGGGCCATCTTTTCCAAGCAACAAATTGGACAAAAATGCATGTACCGTATTTGCCAGCATACAGCCAGTATGTAAAACCAACCAAGTTTTTTTTTCTTTTTTTTTTTATCCTCACCCAAGGACATTTTTCGATATTTTGTTCAGATAGAGTGGGAGGGAGAGAGAGAGAGAAACATCGACGTGAAAGGGACACGTCGAGTGGTTGCCACCCACACGACCCAACCAGGGCCAGGGCCAAACTGCAACCGAGGTACGTGCCCTTAGCGGAAACTGAACCCAGGTCTCTCCAGACCTCAGGCCAAAGCTCTAACTGCTGAGCCAAACTGGCCAGGGCCCAACCAAGTTTTGACAGTAAAATATGAAAGCCCAGTTGTGACTATTAGTCCAGCTCTTCAATGGAAGAAACTGGCTTTTAGGCTTGGTTATCCTGTTTCTGTTAACAGGAGCCACAGAATTGATAGGCAAGCATTGCCACCCAGTGGCTGTGGTTCTTACTGCAGAGTTCGTCACCGCACCTTTTGTCCCCCAAATCTCAAACCAAAGGTTCTGTATTTGGGACAGTCCTTGAAAGTAAAATGTTTTGAACATAACAGTCTGAGGAATACAGTAGACCCAGACACATGGAAGTAGGGCACAGACTGACATCCCTCAGAAGAGGGGATGGGGGGTGGGGGGGGTGGGAAGAGATAAACCACAGAACTTATATGCATGTATGCATGACCAATGGACATGGACAACTAAACCGGGGACAGGGTGGAGGGGGGGTGGGGTGGGGGTGCCAATGGGGTAAAAAGGTAAAATATCTGTAACAAAAAAATAAATAAAAATTCATAAAAAAAAAAAAGAAAGTAAAATGTTTTAGAAATTCAAGAGACCCACATAGGGTTATACATTTTTAAATTCTGACAAAGATTTTTTAAAAAGCCTACCTTCTACCAGCATTACCAGTTTGTAGAAGAACAGATATGAGCCCTGGTTGGTTTGGCTCAGCGTTTAGAGCTTTGGCCTGTGGACCAAGGAGTCGAGGCTTCGCATTTCTGGTCAAGGGCACTTTATGTGACAACTTGACTGGGCCACAGGATGGTTGCCCAGATAGGTGGTTAAGCATTATTTCTGAGTGTTCTGTTAATGTTTCTGGAAGAAACATTAGCATTTTAATTGGTGGACTGAGTAAAGAAAATTGTTCTCCCCTATGTGTGTGGGCCTCATCCAACCCACCTGAGTGCCTGAATAGAAGAAAAAGAGAGGAAGGTTGAATTTTCTCTCTCTGCTTGACTGTTTGAGTTGGAACATCAATCATCTCCTGCCCTCAGCATTTGGGACAAGTATTTGGGAATGCTGTCATGAATCATAATGGGCTGCAAGAGATTCTCCAGGCCATAAAATCCAAACACCTCATTTATGAAAAAAAAAAATTCATTTCATGTATTAATATTTTTTACTTCCTTATTTTGGAGATGAGAGCGAGAGAAGGGAGACAACTTCCCAACACCATGTAGCAAGTCAGTAACAGAGTCAGGACTGGAACCCAGGGCCCTTACACTTTTGAGTCAATCATTCCTGAGGGGGTCTCTTGTTCCTGGCTGCATGCTAAACTCTAGTACAAAATTGTTGAGAATCACAACTAAACTACAGAACAACCATCATTCAGAACTGCCTGACATCGAGCTGAATGGAAGTCCTACAACTACAAAATTAAAGAAGCCACATCGAGACTGTATTTGAAATGATATGTGCTATGATGAGCCTTCAGGAATAGACAGGAACTACTACACTAAAAAATAGAAAAGATTTGCTTATGAGTGGAGTCTATTTTGTGCCAGTTTTCCTCACTAGAGAGGCAAACAAAGACATGCTGACCAAGTATTGAGTGCTGAAGAAGATTAAAAAACTGTGGAGATCAATGTCTACATGCCACACGAAGGGAAGTCTTCAGACACTAGCACCAGTGAGCTGCTCCACGCTGGTCCTGAGGGGACAGTTTTCTCCTCAGCATGTTCACCCTTCAGCTGTTGTCAATTGGGAGAATTTTCTCCCAATTAAAGCTACAACCTCACAACTGTGCTGCCTTTTTGGTTTTTATGTAAAGCAAAGTTCTTTTTTCTGGGTCCTAATTGGTGTCAAACCCACTATTACTTCATTTGAGTCACCTTACAAGTCATCCCATTCCAGGACTTCTCAAACCGGGTCCGATAGGGGAACATCTAGAAATCTTTCTTTTCTTTGCTGACCTTGATATCCTGCGATTTAAAAATATAAGTGTAATAATAACATAAAGAATCTGCGACCAAATAATAAATTATCGTAGAGACAAACAGCAGTGGTTGCAGAATTTTCAATAAAAGTTTTAGATTGAAAAAAGAAAGTGTTGAGGATTATTTGAATAAACTTTAAAGGAGGTGCTGGAGTTGAACCTCTACTAGAAGATGAGTAGTCGTTTGCCAGACATCCGCTGGGAGAGGAGACAGTGGGCAAAGTAGGGAGGCCTGAAAACAGCACCGGGTTTCAAAAACTACCAGTAGAACCACCTGAGGGGGGAGGTGAGGCTGGGGGATGATGCACTGAGACGGCAGGGGTTCGCTGCTGGCTTTTGGATAGCCAATGACAATAGTAAGAGCCACATGCTATCTCCCAGGGGCTGCTAGCTCGCGGGGGCAGGTACAGCTGCAACTAGGTGAGAAATGACGAGGGACAGTGGCAAAGGGAGTGTAACAGGACAGGGGAGAGCACTACACTGGAGTAGCGCAGAGAGGGCCCCCCCTACGTTTTACCCCTGCTGATTGCTAAGAAGTGAAGAGCCTTGCAAAAAACAAAAACAAAAACAAATGCAGGCGCCCGCCGGAGCAGATGCTCAGCAAGCGTGCATTGTAGGGAAGGAAAGTGAGCGCAGGCGGCCTGAGGGAGCTCCGACTAAGGTCGCGCCCTAGCCGGCAGGGCCAGGCCCGGTCCCCACCGCCGGCTCATTCAGGTGCCGCGGTAACCGGCTCCGCCCAGTCCTCCACCACCCTGAGCCCTCGGCTCACCCCAGCGCCTCTGCCTTCAGCCAGTAGTAAACGTGGTCGCAGGCTCTTCCGCCGGGACGTCGGGTCAAGGGTCGGGCAAGATGGCGGCGCCCAGGAGCGCGGAGGCGTGAAACAGGATGGCGCTGGCGGCGCTGGCGGCGCGGGCTCGGCTGGAGCGCCAGCTGAGCGGGCCGGGGCCCGGGCGAGGGCACTGGACGGCGGCTGGGCGATCGCGGAGCCGGCGCGAGGCGGCAGAGACCGAGGCGGACGCGTCCGTGTTCCAGTATGTGGGCGAGCGCGCGACTCGCGTCGACCGCATCTTCGTGTGGGGCTTCAGCTTCTCCGGGGCGCTGGGCGTGCCCACCTTCGTGCTGCCCGCCTCGGGGCCCCAGTCCCGCGCCGGCTCGCGGCCGCGCCGCAGGATCCAGCCTGTGCCCTACCGCCTGGAGTTGGATCAAAAGGTGCGGGCCGCAGCGCCCCCACCCCGCACTTGGCCCCCTCCGAGAAGTTAGCGACACTGAGTGCTCACACTTCCGGGAGGGCGACCCCCGCGCGGCAGCCGACCCAGGAGGGGGAGGCGTTAGGTGCGAGTGGCCGGGATGTGCAGGTGTTGTGGCCCGCGTGTGTCATTTGCACCTCACCCCGGGAGTCGGGGTTATCACCGCAGTTACACGGAAGGAAAGGGAGGCTCAGAGAGGTTACGGGACAGGTTTCAGGTCCCACAGCTGGTAGGTGTACGCACAGTGGGATTCGCACTCGGGCCAGTGAGACTCCAGAAGTTAGGTGTGAGGAAGGACGACTTGAAAAGGTCCGAGAAGCCTGCAGGTGTGGGTCAGTGGTTGAGCATGGACCCATGCACCAAGAGGACGCCAGTTCGATTCCGGTCAGGGCACATGCCCGATGTGGGCCTGATCCCCAGTCCCGGGCATGCAGGAGGCGGCTAGACAATGTTCTTTCTCATCTATGTTTCTGCCTCTCCCTCTCCCTTCCTCTCTCTCTCTCTCTCTCTCTCTCTCTCTCTCTCTCTCTCTCGTCAATAAAGGAAAAAAACAGATAAATCAAAGGTCAGAGAAAATGTGGGCCTGCTGGAGTGGGTGAACAGTTCCGAAAGGAAATGTTAGCTGGAGCAGTAAAAGGAATGAGAGAGGAAAGGTGAGCGGTCTAAACACTAAATGGTTTGCACAGGAGGCCTTGACTTGAGTCCAGTTGAAAAGATCACAGCAAAGGACAACTTCAGCTGGGCGGTTATCTTGGAAGCCAGCACTCACAGAGCAAAAATGGATGCTTAGGGATGAATGGTTGGGGAAGTCTTGGTGAAGGATGAAAAAGATGCAGATTTGACCAGTTTGGTTCCTGACTTCTGTCAAGGATAACAAACGATCTTTTTTTTTATCCTCACCCGAGGACATTTTTTACCATTTTTTGTTCAGATAGAGTGGGAGGGAGAGAGAGAAGAGAGAGAAACATTGATGTGAAAGGGACACATCAAGTGGCTGCCGCTTGAACGACCAACCAGGGCCGGGGACAAACTGTAACCGAGGTACATGCCCTTAGCGCGAACCGAACCTGGGTCTCTCCGGACCGCAGGCCAATGCTCTAACCGCTGAGCCAAACGGGCCAGGGCACAAACGATCTTTTTATTTATTTATTTTTTAAATTTTTTGTTACAGATGTTTCTCCTTTTTTACCCCATTGACATCCTCCTCCCCATTCCCCCCTGCCCCGTCCCTGGCTTTGTTGTCCATGTCCATTGGTTATGTATACATGCATATAAGTTCTGTGGTTTATCTCTTTCCACGCCCCCCACCCCCTCTTCTGAGGGATGTCAGTCTGTACCCTACTTCCGTGTTTCTGGGTCTACCCTATTCCTCAGACTGTTATATTCATTATATTCCGTATATAAGTGAGATCATGTGGTATTTGTCTTTTTCTGCTTGGCTTGTTTCACTTAGGATAATACTTTCTAGGTCCCTCCATGTCGTCTCAAAGGATAAGAGATCTTTCTTTCCTACAGCTGCATAGTACTCCATTGTGTATATGTACCACAGCTTTTTTATCCATTCGTCTACGGATGGACACTTGGGCTGTTTCCAGATCTTAGCTATTGTAAATAGTGCTGCTATGAACATAGGGGTACATATATTCTTTCTGATTGGTGTTTCAGGCTTCTTAGGGTGTATTCCTAGAAGTGGGATCACTGGGTCAAATGGCAGTTCAATTTTTAATTTTTTGAGGTAACACCATATTGTTTTCCATAGTGGCTGCACCAGTCTGCATTCCCTCCAGCAGGGCGCTAGAGTCCCCTTTTCTCCACACCCTCGCCAACACTTGTTGTTTGATGATTTGTTGATGGTGGCCATTCTGACAGGTGTGAGGTGATACCTCATTGTTGTTTTTATTTGCATCTCTCTGATAATTAGTGATGTTGAGCATTTCTTCATATGTCTCTTGGCCATTTGTCCTGACAAACGATCTTTTTAAAAAAATTTTTTTAATTGTTAAGAAATACTTTTATTGAGTTTTACAGAGGGGGGGGAGGGGGAGCGGGAGAAACATCATCCATCAGCTGCCTCCTGCGCGCCCCCTGTTGGGTATTGAGCCCGCAACCCTGGCAGGTGCCCTGACCAGAGTCAAACCAGCATCTTTTGGTGCATAGGACAGTCAGTGCTCAATCCACTGAGCCACATAGGCTGGGCATAACAAACGACTTTTTAACTGAAAAAGGTAGATGAAGAGAAAGAGGAAATTTAAGCTCAAGGTGAATGTAAAGTTGGGTTGTTTACTTCTTAACATTGAGTTGTAAGAGTTATTAATGTATTCTGGCTGTAGGTCCTTAATCACATAAATGATGTGTGCAGATATTTTCTGCCAGTTTGTGGCTTTTCTTTTTTTTATTAATAGTGATCTTTGAAGAGCTAAAGTTTTTAATTTTGATGAAATTGAGTTGATTAGTTTTTCCCCTGTGAGTCATGTGTTTTTGGTATCTTATCTAAGAAATCTTTGTCTAATCCAAGCTCACAAAGGTAATTTTCCTGTTTTCTTCTAGGAGCTTTTTAGTTTTAGTTTTTATATTTAATCTGTGAGTCAGCCATTTGAGTTGAGTTTTTGTGTATGGTGTGGGATAAGGTTTTTTTGCATGTGGATGCCCAATTGTTTTAGCATTGTTAGTTGGACAGATTAACCCCTTCCTTATTGAATTGTCTTGGCACCTTTGTTAAAAATCAGTTGACTGTAAATGTAAGGGTTTATTTCTGGACTCTCAATTGTTTTTCATTGATCTGTGTGTCTGTCTTTATGCCAAAATTACACTCTTTTTATTACTGTAGCTTTTAAATAAGTTTTGAAATTGGGAAATGTAAGTGCTCCAACTTTGTTGTTGTTTTTATAAAATTGTTTTGGCTATTCTGGGTCTTTTGCTTTTCCATATGAATTTTAGGATTAACTCACCAATTTCTGAAAAAATACTTGTAGGATATTGATAGGAATTATGTTGAATCTATAAATTGATTTGGATCAAAATGCCATATAATAATTTTGTGTCTTCCAGTCTATGAACATGGAATGGCTTCCCATTTATTTAGATCTGTAATTTCTTCCAACTCTGTTTTGTAGTTTCCAGTGTACAGCTCTTGCCCACAAATGCATAGCCTCCCCTATTATCAAAACTCCCCTCCCCTACTGGTGCATTGTTACAATTGTGAACCTGCAGTGACACATCACAATCACCCAAAGTCCATAGTTTACACTGGGATTCATTTGGTGTATATTCTGTGGGTTTGGACAAATGTGTAATGACATTTATCCATCATTACAGTACTATACAGATTCTGTTCACTGCCCTAAAAATCCTCTGTGCTCCTATTCATTTTTTTATGTATGTTTTATATATGTTTACTGGTTTTAGAGAGCAAGGAAGAGAGAGAGAGAAAGAGAAACATCGATTGGTTGCCTCCCATACATATCCCGACCAGGGATCGAACCCGAAACCTAAGTATGTGCCCTGACTGGGAATCGAACCCGAAACCTTTTGGTGTATGATGACGCTTCAACCACCTGACCAGGGTGCTCCTATTCATTTTATCCTCCATACCTTATTATTTCTTCAAATACTTGTGCCCCTTTCTCTCCTTTTCTTCTGGGACTTCCATTATGTGTATGATTATATACTTGATGTGTCCCATGGTAGCTGAAGCTCTGTTTATTTTTCTTTATTCTTTTTCTGTTTCTCAGACTGGATAATCTCAATTGACCTAGCTTCAAATTTGGCTGCTCAGATCTTGTGAGAGCTCATCCAGTGAATTTTAAATTTAAGTTACTATACTTTTCATCCTCAGAATTTCTATTTAGTTCTTTTTTATAATTTCTATCTCTTTGTTGATATTCTCTGTTTGGTGGGACATTGCTCTCATACTTTCCTTTAGTTTTTGTGTTTTTTTAAAAAATAATTTTATTTATTTATTTTTTATCCGCACCCAAGAACATTTTTCTGTTTTTTGTTCAGATAGAGCGGGAGGGAGAGAGAGAGAGAAATGACGTGAAAGGGACACATCGAGTGGTTGCCACCCACATGACCCAACCAGGGCCAGGGACAAACTGCAACCGAGGTACGTGCCCTTAGCGGGAACTGAACCTGAGTCTCTCTGGACCGCAGGCCAACGCTCTAACCGCTGAGCCAAACCGGCCAGGGCACTTTCCTTTAGTTTTCACATGTGATTTCTTTTAGTTCTTTGAATGTATTTAAAATAGTTGACTTTAAAGCCTTTGTCTTAAGTCTAACATCTGGGCTTCCTCAGGAACTGTTTTTGTTGACTGCTTTTTTCCCCCCTCCTGTGTATGGGCTATAATTTATTGTTTCTTTCCATTGCTTGTGTTTTTTGTTGTTGAAAACTGGACATTAAAAATGATACAGGGTGGCAACTCTGAAAATAAAATATTCCCACCTCCCAAGGGTTTGTTGTTGTTGCTGTTTGTTGTTGTTTAGTGACTTCTTTGAACTAATTTGGTAACGTTTATATTCTTTGTCATATGTTACCACTGATGTTTCTATTCATTTAGCTTAGTGGACAGACGGTATTTGGACAGAGATTTCCTTAACAGCCTGTAAACAATACACCTCTCCATCTTTGGTAAAGAGTCAGGCCAAATTAAAGACAGCCTTGCAAGTGGGGCCTTCCAGGGAACCACCAGACAGTTCAAATGAGAATTCTCTGGGACTGGGGCTTTGATGTTTCAATACTATTCTGTATTCTGCCATTTTCAGTGGCTGCCAGATTGCTGATTTTCACCGTGATTATAAAATGTTGGTTTTCAAGGCTACTGCAGAGCTGCAGAGAGGTGAATGAGAGTAGAGCAAGTTAAAACACCTCAAATCATGCTGTTCTTGCTGAGATTAGGTAGCTTTTCTTGAGTAAACACTCTCCAGATTGCTGTAGGCCTTTGGTAAATTTCCAGAGTTCTGAAA